CTTTGCATTGGTGGGCCGTATCTGGCCCGTGGGCCGTAGTTTAAGGATGCCTGCTCTAGACAAAGGGGCAAAGGTATGCAATATTTGGATCCATTGGAAGGGCTACCCAGAATCCGAACGTTCCTGGGAAAACAGAATGGGAGCATTCGATGCCGCTAGCTTGGGGCGGCCAGCAGGGAGTGGCCTACTTGCCACTGCCAACTCTCTTCTGCCAACTCGGTGCTGCCATTTCTTTGCAGGACATCTCAACACTGGAAAGTTTCTCCGGGGATAACTTGCTGTGGTCGCTGGATGGAGAGCTAGGCAAGCAAGCAGGCTTTCAGATGGCGGCGGTAGGTTGGCTCCTCCCTGAATGCCAAACCAGCTGTTTGGCTGCAGCAGGAGATGGGGCGGAAGGTGGGAAGGCAGCAGCAGCGGGGGTTCCTATTTTGACATCCCTTGATGTTGCCTCTGAGCCTTGGGCTGCGCCACTCTACAAGGTTTTTTTTAAAGCCCTGTGGCTATGCCAATTTTTTTTTAAGTGCCAAGTAGGCTGTACAACATTTTTTTTAAAGCCACAGGGCTTTAAAGGACAGCACTTTAGCAATGCCGTGGGGTGTCGAAAAAGGAAGCCCCCATCTGCCACTTCCTCCCTGCCCTCCACCCCATCCCCTGCTTCAGCTGAACTGCTGGTTTGGCATTCAGGGCAGAGCCAACCTACAGCCACCGCCCTCTAAAAGCCCACACGCTCGTCTGGCTCTCCATCCAGCTCCCACAGCGAGTTATCCCTGCAGTGACTTTCCAGTGTTGAGATGTCCTGCAAAGAAATGTCAGGACTGAGTTGGCAGAGGAGAGTTGGTGGTGATGAGAAGGCTGCCCCCTGCTGGCCGCCCCATGCTAGCGATGTCAAGTCATCATAGACCCCTGGGAAAATGTCAAATACATGGACGTGCCTCACTTGGCACAGCAATTCCATCAGCGTTTCCCAATCACAACCTTACATTTGTATCAGAAGTAAAACCTGGACCACCACCTTGCCCTACCACAATATAGCATTTCAACTGAAGCAGTGGAATCTATCCAGGAATTAATAAAAGCACAGATGTACATCCCCCTGCAACACCTCATTCTTCCCAGTCAGAAAACCTAAGAAGGATGCCATGGGGAAGCCAATGTATCATGCCGTTCATGACCTGAGGAATATTAATTCCTATGTAATCCCACTTGCCCCAGTGGTGCCAAATCCAGCCACAAACCTCCCTGTGATTCCTCCCTGTTGAGAGCCAGGGAAATCAGGAAATCCATGCAGTTGAAATGACTATAAAGATTTATTGCAAGCTTAAACTCTTTACAAGAATCTGAACTACTAACACTCAAAGCAAATTGGCGGTAGATAAGAGTGAAAAGAATTCTAGACTAGGCTGAGGGGAGGGGACAGGAGAGGAAAGGAAATTCTTAATTGGCCAAGTGTGATTGGACACACAAAGAATTTGTCTACGGTGCATAAGCTCTCAGGGTACATACAAACAACAGTGATAGGCCATATATCATAGATCATAGTTACACGGTAATCATAATATGCAACAAGTGATAAATCAAAGATACCAATAGGAGAAGATAGTAGGAAAGATGAAAAGATGAAAAGGATAATATCAATCCAGCCCTACTACATGGGTAAATACTGTATGTTTAGGCCTAAGACAGTGCTGTGGGAATTAGGTGTTCAGCAGAGTGATGGCACAGGAGAAAACCTATCTTTGTGTCTAACTGTTTTGGCATGCAATGCCCTATGGTGGCATCTAGAGGGAAGACGTTGAAACAGTTTATGTCCAGGGTGTGAGGGGTCTGTAGATATTTTCTCAGACCTCTTTCTAGTTCATGCAGTATACAGGTCCTCAGTGGAAGGCAGGCTGGTTGCAGTTGTTTTTTTCTGCAGTTCTAACTATCCGTTGAAGTCTGTACCTGTCCTGATTGGTTGCTGTGCCAAACCAGACAGTTACTGAGGTACAAATGACAGACTCAATAATTCCTCTATAGAACTGTATCAGCAGATCTTTGGGCAATCTGAACTTTCTGAGTCGATGCAGGAAGAACATTCTTTGTTGTGCCTTTTTAATGATGGTCCTAGTGTTAGGTGTCCTTTCAAGTTCTTGGAGATAATAGAACCTAGAAACTTGAAGGTCTCTACTATTGATACTGTGTTATCTAATATTATAAGAGGTGGTAGAATAGGAGAGCTTCTCCTAAAATCTATCATCATCTCTACAGTTTTAAGAGTGTTTAGTTCCAGATTGTTCTGGCTGCACCACAGGGCCAGTTGATCTACCTCCTGTCTATATGCAGACTCATCGTGGTCTCAAATGAGACCAATGACTGTTGTATCATCTGCAAACTTCAGTATTTTAACATAGGGATCCTCTGAGATGCAGTCATTGGTATAGAGAGAAAAGTGTAATGGAGAGAGCACACAGCTCTGGGGGGCTCCTGTGCTAACTGAATGGGTGTTTGATGTGATTTTACCTAGCTTCACCTGCTGCTTCCTATCTGTTAGAAAGATTATAATCCATCTGCAAGTGTGGTCAGGCACAGCTAGCTGAGTCAGTTTAGAGAGAAGGATTTCTGGAATGATGGTGTTGAATGCTGAGCTGAACTCTACAAAAAGGACCCTTGCATAGGTCTTTGGGGATTCAAGATGTTGTAAAATCTAGTGCAGTGTCATATTGACAGCATCATCTGCCAATCTATTTGCACAGTAAGCAAATTGCAAGGGGTCTAGCAGCAGCTTTATGGCTTCCATAAAGTCCCNGAGGCCACACCCACAGAGTAGGTTCAAACACTTTTTGAAACCCACCACTGGTCCAGCCCCACTTGGAACGGAGTGCATGGTGTGTTTTTTAAATCTATTTTTTCTTTCCTTCTCTTCTTTTTGATTTATTTGTATTGTTAGCCACCCGGAGTCCTACGGGATTGGGCGGCATATCAATGTTATTAAACTTTAAACTTTAAACTTTCATCAGCTGGCAGCTATTAAATTCTCAGTACCTAGACAAACTCCTCCGACAACCCATCCTGGAACACGTCCATGAGGGCAGCCTCGTTTGAGTCCGAATCCTGGCTAAGCAGCCGGAACTCATTGATATACTCCTGCAGAGGTTGCTGGCCCTGCTTCAGAGTCTTCAGACATTGGGTAGCGGTCTGTGTCTTGATGGGGTCCTCATACATTAGTCTGAGATGGTCACAAAAAACCCTAAAATCATCCAACAAAGGAGTAGCCTGAACCAGCAAGGGCGTGGCCCAAAGAACCAAAGAGCCGGAGAGAAGGCTAATCATAAACCTCACTTTAACCCGGTCAGTGGGGAAGCCTTCAGCTCTCAGGCTGATAAAAAGCTGGCATTGTTCCAAAAAAGCAGGAAACATGGGCTGGTTGCCATCAAACATATCTGGCACATCTACCGGGCATTTTCTCCGAGGAGGTGGAGCAGTGTGAGCTTGGAGCTGAGCCACCTCTGCTGCCAGTAGAGCTACTTGTTGATTAAGCTGAGCATTCTCAGCACGAAGCTGCTCCATCTTAATAGAGGTTTGTTTGTAATTAGGGGCAGGAAGCAAACGGTTCTGACCTAGGCTTCCTGACCCAGTAAAACACACACAATTAAGTCCAGAAACCCTCTTTTTATTTCAAAGGCTGTGAATTATATTCATTCACAGCCCGTAATGAGTTCCAAATAGTAGTAAAGAGCTCTACAGCAGGGTGCCAAAGTCATCGGGGATAAGGCTGATAAGCACCCACCTTTATCTTCTTTGAAAATGCTGCCAAAGACTTAATTGGCAATTAGGTTGGCAAAGCCACACAGAGCAAAGAGTCCAAACATATTTTCAGAAGGTAAACTGACCAGCATGAACCAAGTTGCTTCCTGTAAAGGCCTTTGCTCCTCCTTTATGTCCTATGGGAGGGGCCAATCACCTCCAAACCTTGCTCCTGATTCATCCCTTCTGTTTTAACTGTTCTT